AAACATAATATAATATATCCTCAATATCTTAATGGAAAGAAAGGATGTCCTTAATTATATTACCATTTTATAACGATCTTGAACACTTTCTATTGTTGAATCTTTGCCATTCGATTACACAAATCTTCCCGCGATAAGGCTATTGTTGTTGTTGCTGCAGTTGTTGCAACAGCGGACATACTTCAACTAAGGGAGTTCCCAGAATTTCTTGACATACTTGGTTCATGTCTGGCTCCATCATAAGTGAAGAAATCTGATCTTCCGTTAACATCTCCACGCTAATAGAAAATTTATTAATAAAAAATAAAGGAACCTAATAAATCATATTTATTGAAAAAAATAAATCATCATGAACTTACCTAGCCAAACTTTCGCTGTCCGATGTCTCTTCATCTGCATTTAGATAGCTCATTGTCTTTTCTAATGGACTGGGGACTTTCTTTCCTTTAGTTTCCGATTTTTCAGACTTTTCAGACTTGTCCTTATCTCTCTCCGCTGTCTTTGGTTCACTAGAACGTCGTTCCGTCAAACTAGATATGTTTAGCATCATCATACCATGATTGAGTAATTCCTTAACACGCTCCCCAGTACCACCACTCCACAACATATCGAGAGATTGTCTTCTGCTTGAATTTGCTAAAATGATTTGAATGTTTACATATATATATGTAATTTTAAAGTATCAAAATTCTCAAAGAAACACATTTATCCACTTACTGGAACTACCACCGCTAGCCTCGCCACAGGCTGAACTCCTAATTATCCAATTGGCTAAGCTACCATCGAGTTTGCCTTTATTTTTTATCGAAGGGCTTCTCGTAACTTCGGTTTTTTTCTCTTCGCTTAAAGTAACTTCGTTTACTTTTGACATTGTGGGTAAAGACTTTTGCGTTATTAATCTTTTTCGATTGGTTTGCTCTTTCAGTGGTTCGGCAGTTGCGCTAATTTGCTGAGTGTTTTCTGGACTCAGATCCATCGGTAGCGGTTTGTAGGGAATTTGATCTTCCTCATCGGAGTACATGTCATTGTTGTAATAAATTTCATCCGGCGAATTGTTCAGGTTAATTTCCGTCCATTCATCTCCATTGTGAGTAGTAGCATTATTCTTGTTATCGTTCACAGGTGTCTGAATTTTCACTCTCTTCTCGATGGGAGATATAATACCTGACAAATCCGCCAAGCCTGGTGCAGAAGAACTTGTGTGATTTAAAGTCGGTACGATATGTTTCGAATCTGTGGTTGCGATGCTTCGTGGACGATCACGTTTTATGTATTTACGAGGTTCGGTAGACGAAAGATTCAGATTGTTTAGGCCCAAGTATTCCGACGAGGAATCTCTTTCGATCTGAAGAAAAAAACAGCATTATTATTCAATAAAACTGAAAGGTATATTATTTGTGTCAAAGAGATATATCTATATTTACTTTAGTAGGCATAGGACATTGCACATTCGGACTCATCTTGTCGGGAAGGCGTAAATATTCGTCGCTAGTATAATCCGTACTGTCCGGAGATCCAGTTACACTGGAATCCGTCGGAGTTGCCGTGTTGTTTTGCGCGTTGGAATGATCGGGCGCGTCTCGTGCATGTTTAACATAGTCATCCATACCGTCATATCTCCTTGTCTGTTAGCAAAATATAAGGAAGAAAATTTTATATATAGTTTGAATTATTGCTACTCGCACGTAACTGATACATATATATTTATTATACCCTATGAATCTCGTCACTGATCTTTTCTAGATTTCGTAACGCTTCTGCATATGAAGCTTTTGCTTCACTAACTGATCTCTCCAGCACACTGACTTTCATCTTCTGCTCCTCCAGCATTTGATTAAAGTGCGCTTTCATCTCATAGTAAGGCCTATATGTTGTAATTATAAACTATTTTATTAAATTAGAACTATATTATGCAGAGAAACGATATTTAAACATAATTTTTAAATATATATTTTTATCGCAGCATTTTATGCATAACAATTTAAATTATTATCACATAGCTGATAATCAGATTCTGATCGGGAGGGGAAAAGAGCAACTCGACAAATCTTGTGTGCAGTGTATTTATTGTGAAAAGCACAATCAAAAAAAGTAGCAGGTTGTCGATTTGAAAAATTCTTATATATAAATATACAGTTCATGCATGATCAGAATAATGGGTTTAAAAAATAAAGAACAAAGAGTTGAACTATTTGATAGCATACATATAAAATAATCGTGTATTAAAAAATAAATAAATAAAAAGAATATCTATCCTACTTACAACATGAGCAAGTTGTGCCTGTAGGCGATACTGTTTATCAGAAGCAAGCTGCGACGTGCACCCATACTGCCAACATGAACATACAACCAAAACACATAAATACCATAAGAGGTCTATAGAAAAAACAACATAACATAATAATCATTCAAAAATAGCTCGATGATTATTTGAATGGGGATAAAATATGTCGTAATGAGAAGAAATAATAAAAGAGGTTTTGTATGTAAATAACTCTTTGATACATTAACTTGGTTGTATACAAGGTTTTCTCAAAGTGGTTTGTATTAAATAATAATTATATGCAATACAATAAATAACTTCATGCATTAACAAAACTATTGTGAGAATGGGGATATTTCAAACTCCATTAACAAAAAGATTGCAGGTTCGTAACATACCTTGATTTGGCAATAGTACGTTTTAAATCGCGCTGTAACCTTTGAACTTCGTGTTCCGCTTTGTGATATAATGCTGTTGTATGCCTGTGTTCTGCTTCAGAAAGAGCTCTTTCATGTTCCGATTCATTAACTCGCGATGTAGCATGATTCAACATTTCCTATATATATTTTATTATATATCGTTAATATTTTTTTTTTATATTTTGTTATATTGCACATTATATGTATAATTTTTATTGTAACTTAATTAATGGATCTTACCTGCCAAGCATGATCAAAGCATCTTCCTTCAGTTCGTAATCCTTCTTCTGCTAAGTAAACCATTTCTTTAGCTGCAGAATGTTGACTATTGGCTCTCTCAAATCTAATCGCAGCCTTCTGCGTTTCTTGTAATGCCTGTGTATTTATATATATATATATATATATATATATAATTGATATTTCCAAAGTTATTTCTATATCTAGTTAGGAATAGTATTATCTAGTTATATGGAAAAAGTTTCTCACCTCTTTTGCTCTAAATCTAGCATCATAATATGGTCTGGACTTTTCAATGCAAGCTCCAAGTTTCTTAGCTAAACCGTCGATCTTGATTGTTGATTCGCACAATAATTCTCTAAAGGTTGCTCTTGCTTCCTAAAAAATTATAAAATACATGATATAAAAAGATTAATTATATTAAAGTAAATATATATAAGAGGTGAAACGCAAGTGTTATGACTTTTTGTAAAAAACTTCAATCTCAAATTATAAGTTATTTCTTTAGTTGAAGCTGCCATTTGATTGTTATTAAGATCGTCTTCTCAAGTCATTATCCATTTATATATATCTTACACAGCAATCATCTCAATAAAATCTAATCGCAACCAGTTTCTAAACTTGCCAGCAATTTTGTTCTTCAAGAATCATCATCAGATATCGCAATGTGAAATCTAGACAGGCAAGAGACTTTTGCAAATGCAAGGTCATTCCTTTAAAAAGGAATACTTACATCTAAATCAACTTCTAGTTTATTAATGTCATCTGTAGCTGTGTTTAATCTTTCAAGTTCAATCTGAAACAACATCAGTATTTTATAAAAAGCGTGTTATACATATTATAAGCTGTATATAATTTCTTAAAATAATACTATAATAATGTTAATAATTTTTTATAAAATACAGAATTATTTTTCAATACAAAATTTTTTAATCAAACAAATAATTTAAATATTCATCTCTTCCTACCATCAATAATGACATATAAATTAAAGAAGCCTTTCATGCCTATTATGCTCCAATTTCTTGCGTCGAAACGAAGTTACCGGGCAACGAAGGTAATTTAGTACGCGCTGTCACGATATATAATAGACATAGTCCGGGCCGAGCGATAGAGGGGGAAATAAGAATCGGGGACGTTTTATAACTCGGCTGTGTATGTATATATAGGGTGGAGAAAAGGGAGAAAAGGGAAAAAATAAAAGAGACCTTCGCTGAGAAGAGGACGGGACTGCTGTTGCACGTGGGATCCGTCGTTCGTAAAATTCGTCGTACGATCGTGATTTTTGTCCTCCGTTCACGTGCAATTAATCGCGGCCGTCTTTTTTTCTTCCAACTGCGAAATGTCAATATCGCGGAAGTCATCGCGAGGATGTCGTTGGGATGCGCGTCGGAAAGCGAGTCTCACCTGCACTCGCGGGTCCACTGCATCGTCGATGCGATCGGGATCATCGGCACACTC